GAACTCTACCGCAAGGAGAAGAAGAATCAAAACACAATTCTGATGCCATCGAATCTGATCTAAAATCGAAATCCCTTGATAGAAACGGCCAAGATGAAGAACGCACTATCTGGAAAGAAAAAAGAGTGATGAGTGAATCACTAAAAGCAAGAAATTCTCGGTTAAATAATTCTAAATTTTCTATAGAGATGAAAACCATGCAGGATTTAGAAGAAGCTCGACTAGCGTTGACTCGCTTAAAACATGTCATGAAAACTGTTACTCATACAAACTCCGCTACGCAGACTGTGAAAATAACCGAGGAGAAAGTGCTGCAAGGTGAAAACGGTGCGAAGACAAACGTAGAAAAAACAAGCTGTGTTGAAAGCATTTCAACTTTGCAGGAAAAAGAAATGACAGTCAAGAAAGGGAATACTGGTCGACGCGGCGAGAGTGGTTTTAAAACGATGAAACGAGGCGCTGGTTTTAATAATCCTAGTGAGGATGGCTTTGCCGGAAGTGTTATTGCTGATGATGGTAAATTTGTTAAGCAGAAAGGAGAGTCTATTGTGTTGAGCAAGAACGATCCAGGTTCAAAGTTTGATTATCTGATACCTTCCAAGAACACCCGGGACAATGTTATCGCAGAATCACTGTTTGAGCAGCTAAAAGGAAGCGTCCCTAGCGGACCTAAACACACGCCACCTCTAAAGGACAAAGCATTCTTGTCAAGTGTAAGGAATTGTGAAGATCTTGGAAGGAAGAAACTAAAAGGCGAAGCGGTCAGTGCGGAGTGTTTGACTCAAGATTCCAAGAAACAGACGCACGGCACAAGCGCTGGAAGAGATGTTGGTGTTGAGAGCTTTGTGTCAACCACTGAATTTACTAAGGCCGAGGAAAATGAGCTATCGACGGATAAAAGAACTCTGCTTGATTCGGATGGTGAGGTAATTTTGATGAAGCAAACTTTGGCAGATGAGATTTCGGCTAACGTGCCCACGGATTCTCTATTAAGTGAGCGCACTTCTGAAGCAAAAGTTCTTGAACATAGCGAGAAGAAAAGTAATAGAAATACAAAAGTCAATATTGGTTCGACTGCAAGTGATAACAACAATCTTAAAGTGAACTCTGTCGAGAGTGTTTCTGCCACGCAAATCAAAGGCAGTGATCTAGAAATTGAAAGCAAGAAACATCACTGGAAGACAAACCCTGGAGAGTACGAAAAACCTAATTCGAACGTACCAGAAAATAATGACGACGCGAGAAGTAAAACCAGAGATGAAGAGGATTATAATAATAAAGATTCTGGTAGACCAGATACTAATGGTGTTGTTAAAAATCCTAAAAACGCCAACGGAGAAAAGAGTAAAGCGGAGGAAAGGCAAAATCGGTTGGATTCAAGCGCAACAAAAGAGTTACCTGCTAAAAGTGATAAATCAAGTAAACTAAACGAGGTTAAATTTAAGCCATCGCCTAATATAAAGGAAAAAGTTAACAACGCCGAGTTTCTTCACAGTGTTGGTGCAGGATCGAGCGTTTTTGAAACAAGCTTTATGAACGTGCAAACTGACGGATCTCTTCAGGATCTGAGTGAGGAAGAGTGCCGACACATAGAAGGTGTCCAGGCTCTGATTGTCAGGAACAAACAGTTCAGTGCATGGCTGTCGTTGGACACCAAAAACATTGAGTAAGTCAGTTGTAAGTTGTCAGTTGCCTTTTTGCATGAATTTCCTTAAATGAGCTTCTTCGACCAGTCATGTGTGTCCCAGCGGGGAAAACGCATTATTTTATCATCCATAGTGGACAATTTTTTAACATACTGCTTAATATGAAATATGTTGAAATATGTAATCGTCGCCGGGGTGGGAGGGGGGGTACTTGGGTCTTTTTTTACTGGGCATGTGTCAAAGACCTCTCAGAACCCCTACCCCATTATACACTATTCTGTGGCCAATTATAGACCCCTTCTTTTGGTAATATCGTAACAACTATTTAACTGCAAATCTTCCCATTTTTTAAATCCCCACTTACCAGAATATTCTAACCACCAAAGATTCCGAAAATGTGCGACTCCATTCTAATAACTTTATTGAAGATGCAACCCCATTATGGTCAATCCAGTCGTGAAAATGTGACCCTATCCAGTGGCACATACCATCGGCGTATTGTCAAGAAGTACCCCCCTCCCCCTCGGGGAATCGGCGTCAATGGTTGGTTTCTGTTTCGTCACTGTCAATGTAATTTTTCTTCTCTTCCTTTAGCGTGCGGGCTCACATCGACTTCCTAAGTGAGGTGGACGACTTTCCCAGAAGGCCTCGTTGTACGGCAAAGATCAGGAACAAATTGCACACGTTCCACAACCTTCCGGTACCGTGAATATTGTTTTGTTGTCCTCTTTCTCTCTTGCTCGCTCTTTCGTTAATTAACCTTTTACGCCCTGACATCAGTATGCATATTCTCATTACTGTTCTCTATACATTTCCCAAGGTGCTGACAAGGAGAATTTGCTTAACAATCAAGAGTTTCTTCAGTCGGTCTTAATTTCATTTATTCTCATGATTCAGGGGTGATATTGTAGGAAGAAATTAGATGCTGGTCACTCTTAGGGGCCAAGGGCTCAATTGATACCTCTATGTCTTCCTCAGCCTTAATTGACCGACCCAATGAGTGAGGGCATTATTGTATCTCTTGTAAGATTACTCGCTTTCTTTTGTCTTAGTTTTTTTTAAAGTGGTTTGTGTACTGTCTTTTATCAAGGGTGTGGTCAATGCTGCTTATTTTGATCAAGTCGCTGAAGTTGGTCTCACTCAGGTTCGGTTTTGTTTTCTGTTCGTTTTGTATGTCATGTTGCAATGTAATGTTACATTTCTTTAGAAAAAGAAGTAAATTTCTGTTTTCTTTCTTCCACAAAGAAGAGTTCGCTTTTTTTTTACCGGGTAAGTCTATGCCTAGACATGACCGTTACATTTACTATTTTTAGACCCTGTTGAGCATGGGAAGAACATTACAAGACACCATTGACGAGATGGGAACACGAATTTACAATGCCCTAAAGAAGGTACCATCCGAAGCTGTATTTTAACGAAACAGACCAGTTTTCTATGGCGGCACGGTGTCTCTCTTCCTTTGATCAAGTTTTCTCTTTCTTGACATTTTATTTCTTCATCTATGAAGTATCATAACAGAAAATTCCTATTGCGCATGCGCAAAAAGTAAACCCCTGTAGATTTGGTTAACTCAGGCAAATTTGGCGATGATGGACCAATTTGGTTCCGTTTTGAAGTTTTGGGTCTTTACAGACTGCTGTTAAATACTTAAAATTTTTACGCCATTGGTAAGGTGAGTAATGTGTCCCACAAGGGTAAGCAATATGTGAAAAAAATATATACAATCGTTTCTCTTTAGTTTAGGTTTCACCGCACGTTCCATGTTTAGAGGTAGGTCGCCCTATGATCGATTAGTGAGGGGACCAATTACGCTGGACATGTCGGCACATCCTTAGGATGAACCCTTCCGGATCATGAAGTAAAACTGGTCTGGTGGTCGGAACTTTAGCATATTCTGACCCAATTTTTGGACCCGTCTAGCGCTCATACCACGAGTGCTTAAATGGCAATGGTGCTTAGATAACTTGGAAAACGTGATAGAGCGTTTATTGATGTTTAGGTTGGCTAAGTCTGACGATTCTTTTTGTTTTTGTAGAATTCTTCGTCCTGGGTGCTACTGAATGTAGCGTCTCTTTATTGGAGAGTACAAGGAGATACTGCTGAAGCCATCAAGTGTCTACGCCAAGCTCTTTCTTTCTCTCCATCCAATGCAAGGGTAGGCATTTTATGATCAGAACAAGAAGAGGTCCTTTTATTTTGAACTCACGCAACGTCTTAAGACATTTATTTGTATCAGAGTATCACCATAATTTTTTACCTCGGATTCCTTGAACTTCCCCCCCCCCTCCGTCATCTTAAAAAGTTTTAGCTGGCCGCCGGAAAAAAGGGGGGGTGGTTTGTTATATCAACACCTATTCTCTACTTAACTTAAGTCAAAACTCTTTCTATAAAAAAAATATATCAAGAAAGTGGAAATGTACAGAGCGGCTCGTTATGAGAGTTGCGTATTTCTGTAAAAAATTATACCCTTTGAACACTTTACACCCTAACATCAGTATGCATATTCTCCATACTGTTCTCCATACATTCACTGAGGTGCTAACAAGGAGAATTTGTGTAACAATCAATAGCTTCTTTAGCTGCTGATAATTTTTTTATTCTCATGACTTTACTGCATGATTCAGGGGTGATGTTGTAAGGAGAAGTTAGGTGTTAGTCACTCTTAAGGGTTAAAGGGTTAATGCGCGAATTGATCCGCAGGGTTTCAAATCAAAGCGCGCCCCAGAAATCACTGCAATCATGGAATCCCAAAACTAGTTTATTCTTAAAATGACATCGTAAGTCATTTACTATTGTTACATCTGTCAATTCAAAGAATCATACTTCAACTCTTGGTCATGTTTTCGTTCCAGGATGTAGCTCATGTTAGTCTGGCCAGTATATTGTTAAGGGAGGGCCAGCTTGAAGACGCTGCTGTAGTCATAAAAAAGGCTCTTGAGGTAACGACTGTACTGAATGACATTTCCAAGTCATATCCTCTCGAACTGGTTGTTTTTCGCTTGATGTCTCGGCACCAAGCCTCACTGTTTCTATAAACGAAGCAATATTTATGATAAGTTACATTTAAAGTTATTTGAAAGTCGTCCCAGGCGCAGGCGCAAAAAAGTTGTGATACACAAGGCGTGACACGTCTCTAACGCACGTGACTTAATTCTAATTGTGAAGGTCGCGCAAAATCGTGGAGAAAACAGTAATTTTTCTGTGCAAACTTGAACCTCTCTACTAACAGTGTTTGTATCTCGTTTCTGAGGACTTTTCTGCTCCATCCAGTAATTGTTATATCCGTCGTTTCTATGACTTATCTACTAAACTTTTACTTACATGTCTATTTGAAAAAGACATAAGTAATTGACCCGCAGTTTTCCAAGTAAAAGAAAACTATTTTTCTGTAAAACTTAGAGATTGTGAACACCAGAAAAATGTTTGCGGAAGTGTGTTTCAAAGAAAAAGAGTATTACTGATCCTTGTGGGGGATCTGGTAATATTATCGTAACATAACCAAAATCATCCGACACTCCCC